AGTAATATAAAGTCTTGCAATAAAACATAATACAGCGAGTTATAAATAAATATATGTTAATTGAATTAATATTGTATTAAAAGTGGAAAATATACTTTAGTTGTTTATTTTCCAAAAAATATAAGAATAAAAATTAATTAATATAATTAATGTAAGAAATGTGAAAGTTAAATTAATTAAACACAAAAGTATATATAATTTATTGGCTTAGTGGTTGATAGAAATTTTATAGTCCCAATACCGACCTCCAATGACCTTAGTGCAGTAAGTGTGCGGTAACAGCTACTCCTACTCTTTTCTGATATCACTGACGGCTCACTGAGTGGTGGTGGTACCTACAAATATTAATCGTTATCATAAATAAACTTAATTAATGATGATTCGAAAATGGATAATATGATAAATTACACAAATAATGAATTTTAAATAATTTTAATAATATATTAATAAATAAATTTTAAATCTAAATTAATTTTATACAACTATTTCTTAATATTAACTCATCTTGGATATCAAAATAATTAACAATATTTTATCATTGTTTATGTTTATTGAATCGATCAATTAGTTTTTTTTTTAATTTTAAATTATTGGTTAACTCGTTTCATTTTTCTTCAAAACCTCTCCAAAAGCGACTTGAAAGAAAGAATGAAAGAGTTGAAGAATGACAATCACGATCTTGAATATGATGAATATGATAGGAAGGACAAAACTAAGGCAGCTACACTTTTTATATCTATCCACACAACAATTGCAAAAGGCCTGACAAAACCATTGAGACATACTATTCAATACTTTTTTGTTTTGGTCCGATCTGGAATGACCATACTAAAACACTCCTAATTGTATTGAAGACTGGATGGACGTTAATGATCGGACGGACGTTGAAGGGCCACGTAAATACTTCAGGCGCTCCAAGCTTTGGAAAATCGGACGGTTACTTGTTTGTTGAGGACTGGACGTGCTGGCAAAGATCGAACGAGCTCTCTTCTCTTTTTCGTATCCCAGTTGTAGTATTTCTTCTCCCTCCTCGTTCTCCAAGCTGGATGGGTAGACACCTGTCAAAGGCACTAACCGAGTGGTTATTATAGCAAGTAGAGCATGTATTATGCCACCTCCAAAAATCATACTTGGGACCTTTATTTGTAGTAGTCGTAATGGACTTTTATCTTTTATGGGTCTGATGATGGCTCAATCACACCTTAATCTTCATTAGGGACTTTAATAAACGATTACTGTTTATAATCTAACCATACGGTCAGCCTAGTGGTTGGTTGACCGATAAACACCCTTAAGAAAGATTGAGGGATTACACTTTTCGAATTAAACATTTAATATAAAATAAGTTTTTTAAAAATTATAGTACTGTATTACAATATAGGAAACTCTAATTTAAATTTAATTTAATTTAACTGAAATAAAGTTTATTTTCACTTATTTACTGTTTGAAGAAGTTTTATCTCTATTCACACGTTGAAAACAGACCCTTAAATCACCGTCCAAAATTGAACAGCGTGCGTGATTCTTCTTTTTTTCCCGACTTCTATTATTGAACTCTGTTTAATTCACGTTATGGTAGCGTGACAATTTTGCTTTTCCGTTTTAAATTTGATTGTGCAGCAACTAAAAAATTAATTTGAAGAATATAATTATTCCTTTGAAAGTGATTTTTATCTATAATTAAAAAATTCATCAAAAAAAGAAAGAAAAAATGTGATGATTGATCTCTATCCTAGTTCTGATTGTTATCTTCAGGTGCATTAGAAAATAGGTTCTTACAGTACGTTACGTATGCTTGATAAGCTCAGAATATTAATACAGTTATAACCTTCCCAAGTAGCTGCCAAAATTTCTCTGCACAACAGTTATGGCAATCGTTTGCTTTTGACCTATGATGCGTGGATACTATACCTATATAGCTTACCATTATGCTTGCATTTCGTACACTGATATGTCTTTTAAAATAATATATACATATATTATACAAGATATTTTTATTTTGATATATATATATATATATATATATATATATATGCAGTTGATATTAGAGTTTCTCTTATTTTTCTGTAAAAAAAATAATGATATTGATAAAATAGTTAATTTAATTTTAATTCAGATAATTGTATAAGTGATTTAATATTTTATCTCAATTTATTTATTAAAATGTTATAATTAATATAGTCTGTTTTCGTGAAATTTAATTTTAATGAGATTTATGTGATACTCGTGTTTTTGTATTTTTTTATCTTATTTTATTTTAATAAATACATATTATTGATATAGAATGTCATATAGATGGCTAACATAAATTTACTTAAAAATATATTAATTTTATAATAAAAAGTAAAATAAAAATACAAAACATAAATATAAATAATTCTTACAATTTGATCATATAGTTTTTATTATTCGGTAGAACAATTTTTATTTAATTTAATTCTGAAAATGGTTAAATTTATAAACGGTTAAATAAAAAATGATTAAATTTTAAAAAATTATAAAACTTAAAAGATAAATTTGAAAAAAAGAAAATTGTAGACACCACCAAAAAGTACTTAATTATTAGCGTCAATCTAAATTAAAATAACATATATTAAATATTATCAAAATAAATATCTCATACGTGGCATTTCTTTTTACGATAAGTTTTAGAAGGCTAGAGTTTAAAACTTCTGAATTCTCCAATGTCAGAGAAAACCTAATAACACCATATTTTGTATTTGTTGTTACTTCTTTTAGGATTATGATTACACTATTTTCTATACCGATTGTGTATAGTTGTGTGGCTGTATATTCATATATTATAATTTTATTATAGAAACGTAATCAATTAGGTTTAAGAGCATATAATTGTACAGTTTTAGTTTCTACGGTTATGATTGGTCATTTGTTTTAATTATCAATTTTAACATTCATTTATAGCTTCAATTATTTAAATTAAATTTCGCATTCTAAACTTTTTAAAGTTGTATCTACGTGATCCAATAAATATATTAAAAAGTATTATTCAATAAAATTTATTAATTTTTTTCATTTTAAAAGTCTAAACCTAATTTTATTAAATAATATCTACGTATTATAATTAATTTCGATAATTTAATATTATAACTATTATTTATAACTTTAATTACTTTTTTATTAAAATTGAGATGAAGATTATTTCAATGAAAAATCTAGAGATCATGGTGATTAAAATTACAACTATGATTTTTAAAACAAAAAAATTATTTAATAAATAATCATTTATATTCAATATTATTTATAAAAATTCCAAATTTTTTTATTTATTTAAGTGTCATAAAGGTTTTTATAGGTAAATCTTTACTTTTTGAAAAATAAAAAATTTCATTTCGACTAATAAAAGTTTTCAAACAACCACTAAAATCTTAGCACCTATTACAAATCGCACGTTTTTATATTTAAGAATAAAATTGATTTGTATATATTATTAAAAAATAGTAAAATACTATAAGAAAAACAAATGTTCGTTAATTAGAATTAAATTTTTTCAATTATAATAACAGATTAAGAATTAACAAAAGAAATCGAGACGGTATCCGATCAGTGATAAATAAGAGAAAATGACATGGATAAAATTATAGTTAAAAATATCGATTTATATATATATATATATATATATATATATATATATATCTATATATAATATATTATATATATATATATATATATATATATATATATATATATATGTATATGTATGTTCATGTGCATGTATAATGAAATAAAAAATTGATTTAATTGTTTGATATGACCAGTGTATGATGGAAATTGACGAGAACTGTATTCCATTATTAACAAAAAAACAAAATAGAGTTATCATTTATATTTTTTCTAGTTTAAACATGTTATTCGTAAGAGATTAGTTATATTTAAAATTATAAAGACGAAAACACTTATCTGATAATCTAAAAAAAAAAAACTATACAAGGAATTGAAATGAATCATAATTTATCTTTTCCTATTATGTCTACATATAGTCACTCCTTTTTCTAATAAAAAAGTGAAATAACATTTCTTTATATTCCATATCTACTTTTCCAAACCAACAAAACAATAAAAAAGGTAATTTAGAAGAAAATATTATAAACTAACTGTTAGCTTTTCAAATTGATTTTAACTTTGATTATTTAAAGTGATTCCCTTCCTTTATTCAACTTCACTGATTAGGGTAAACTATGTTTTTATTCCTAAACTATGAATTTGTTTTTAGGGGCCGCGGGCAAAAGAAGGTGAAAGGGGCGGCTGGATAGGGAAAAAAAAAGTCGGGAAAGATACAGGGGAAAGAGAGGAGAAAAGAAAAAAGAGAAAGAAGGCAGCAAATAAAAATAAATAAATAATAAAATAAATAAAAAAAAAATAATAGAAAAAATAAATACAAAATCTTCAAAAAAAAAAAAATTAAGACTTTTGAAGGAGGACTAAAAATATACCTTACTTTGAAATAATGACACGTAGATAATATTAAAATATTGTAAAAAAAATATTATTAAAGTATGATTATCTTATAAAAAATTGGTGTCAGTCTTTTTCATTTGCAAGAAACAAGGATGAAGAATTAATTCAAAGGTGGTTGTGAAGTTGTGATGATTGTTATGCATGGGACAATAAGGGTGGGGTGCAAAAGACCCATAAAGTATATCGATCATCAAAAGAACCAATATTATTATTTTTTCTCCAAGGGTGCACATGTTTCTCAAGTTATCAAAATTATTAATTATTTTTTGATCACACTAAATTAACTAATATAATGTTTTAAGGTTGTAGTTTGATTTCTTTCATAATGTCTTGAAATAAATTATAGATTTATTAAACGTTTGTGGATTGATTCAAGTTATTGATCGAACTTAAATATTCTTGCATTCATAATCTATCAATTTGACACTTTTCAACTGATAATAATAGTCACAATGTCAAACAAAAGTTTATATATATTTTAAAGGGAACCAAAGCCAGAATCTTGGTCACTTGTTATTTGGATTAGCAACTAATTTATAATCTTTCTACTGCTATATGACATTATGCAATTGTCAGGTTGATGGTTCCATACGCAAGTTGTTGAAGAGTGGTAGAGACCTCGAAGATTCCTTGATTGCTGTTATTATTCGAAATTTGAAGACTGTTAAGGTGTTTATCTTTGTATCTTGGAATAGGGTCTATTGTTCTGAATAAAATTAGTCGAAAGTCCATGGAATAACCCCAGAAAAATATTCCTCTTTTGGATTTCTTCTACTTGACATTCTTTGCAAAATGGTATATTATACCCACCGTTCTATTTCTCTCTCTATTTTAATGAGGTGAACGTATACTTTTCACATGTGATTAGAAGTTGGCATGAAAAATGATGTCTTAAAATCTTATTTTCTCTGGCCTATAGGACAGTTCCAAGGTTATAGTGTTGGATGCTGATGGTACTCGTTCTAAAGGCATTGCAAGATCCTTGAAGAAGATTGGGGTCAAGGCAAGTCTTCTAATACCTGCTGATATTTTGCTGCAAAACTACTGATATGTTACATAAAATTATTGGCTGAGATTAACTTTGTACTACGAGATGTGGCATCTAGGTTGGGAATATCAGTTTACACTGCTTCCTTGTCTGACATAGAATTCTTCAAATTGGCATTTGTATTTAAAGGTTGGGGTTGGAGAGTTTTCTCATCATGGGGGAAAAAGTAAGATCATAGTAGAGAAAAATTCCAGTAAATGTACTCATAGTATTCCACATAACTTAAGTCTTTGTTTGTGTATGCTTGATTTCAACCTAGCAGTATCTTTATCAATAATATCAAATATAACATGATAGTTTTGAATGAAAATGGATTGAAATCATATTGTGAAGTTAAAATATGATGATTTATGAGTTAGTTCATGATACTCCAGTAAATGACACGAGGTTTTGATTGCTTGAAACTGTAAATGGAAAGAAGAATGAATTTGATCGAATTCAAGTTGCCCTAATTTGTGTGTTCAAACTAAAAGTTCGGCCTTCCTTGCCAACACAAATGTCAATTGTCAGATACATAATAGACAGAGACAGCTTTTGATTCAAGTATCTGTGCTTTAGTGTGGTGGTTGTTTGTTGCCCAGGTTGACTAACAGATATATTCTGCAAAGTCCATTTAAGCACCAACTTTGATATCAAACATACAATGGTCATAAAATTAACAACCTTTGTATGATATTACAGAATACATACTTGGTTGAAGGCGGCTTTCAGTCTTGGATGAAACAAGGTCTCCGCATCAAAGAACTCAAACCTGAGACCGCACTTTCCATACTCAATGAGGTATTCGTGGGGCCGCTTGCATGAGATCTTGGCATGATCTCTAGAGCACTCATGAATACCGGGCACGCGCATGGCCTAGTTAGCGCAACACAACGATAACAACAAGGATTGTGGGGGTGTATTGTGATTGATAAACCTCTAACACATATCAAGTGTCTTTGGTTTACATAGCTTGTTATACCAACTACATTGTGTGTTAAGTATTTCAATCTATGACTGGTTCATATAGTTTGCTATACCAGGTCTGATGCATTACATCCTATGAGACCCAAAATAAAAGTTTCTTATCTTTTTTCTTTTGCAATAAGTGGGGGATTGTTGTAATAATGTTAGATTATTGCAAAAGAAAACGTTGGATTGCAACGGTGAAAACTTTAATTGCCATTAACGTTTAAATTCATTTTATTAAGTGCTCAAACGGTAAAATATTTAATGGCTTTTATTGTCTTTTATTGATTTTATTCTTTTCTACCTCTATAAACAGAGAGCTTTTCCTCATTCCAAAAACACACCAAAAGCAGTCTTCTCTACTTCTCCTTTCTTCTTTTCCACTTCTAAAATTATTATGGGTTTATTTTATACTCTTTTTAGAGATCCTTACTAGTTCTGACATCCTCAGAGATATTCTGAGAAGTTCCTGTTGTATCCTAGGAGACTTGCGCAATACACCGCGGATAAGTCCTTAAGGACAGTGATTCTACACGCCTCAGGAAATACTGCTCGTGATTTTGTAAGCATTTTTACAACACCTTTTTCCAAAACCACGCATTCTCCAACTCTCATATATCTCATATCCTTGAAACCATCACGCTGGAAGCCACCCCAACCATGCATGCAATCGAATACTTTGGAACCGAATACCAAGCTTCTTCTTCATGGGAACCGAATATCAGGATGTTGTTCTTGGAAGAAGATTTTCACATAAACCTTCATCCTCTTCTCCATGCCACACATCTCCCTGCTCTTCGTCGTCCTTTTCTCCACCTGTAATGATGTCTGCGTCCAATGGTGGTCGTAACAACACACCTCCATCCTCTGCGGTCTTCTCCTAAACCCCAAGCCACCGTTGCTTCCATGGCGGATGAACACGTTTGACAGTGACGCCACAAACATCATAACCGCATCACCCCATGGATGGCCGGAAACACGGTTCTGCTAACCCAGTTTTGGCGACGAAGTTAGTATTCCAACTATGGGGAACCGGAGCACAGAGGTGCCATCCGCAGAATCGAAGACAAAGCACGCAGACCAGAGACTGATAGCTATATGGATTCGGTTACGCGAAGCATGTAATCGAATACACCTCCTTCGCAAATCCTTCCTATGGCTGGAACCGGATACGCTTTACAGTGGAACCGAATACATCACTATCTCTTCTGCTTCAAGCTTTCATCTTCTTCATCCGCTTGCCTCCTCCTCATCAACCGCCTTCTTCCTCGTCCTTCCTCTTCTTCATCTGCTTGCCTCCTCATCGTCAATCGCCTTCTTCATTGACGTCCAAACACTCCTGTCTTCGTCTTCACCGTTTGCATAATCGAATATGTTTCAACGTTTTTTTTATATTATACATGCCTTTAAAATGGTCGTGGAATTAAAGAAATAACACAGGGGCATATAGGACTTTTCGGTATAAATCATCGCAAATCTTTGCAAAATTGCGAGATGCTAAAAATAGTACAAATTTCGCAAATCCGTGCTTTTATCCGTTTTTCATTCTTCACAAATCACACCAAGCGAACAACGCAAACGAACACAACGTTAAGGTTATTACAACGTCCTCAACCACCAATAAGGTTAATTATTTTACTTTTATTTTATTTTATTTTCATTTCAAATCAATAATATTGAACTTATAAACCGTTGTTAATCATCTTCAGAGAGATGATGCACTTATTTATATTCATTAAGAATGTTTGGAAAAGAACATCAAATGATTACTATTAGTTAAGTTTTATTTACATTTCTATCCATCAAACAAACTAAAACATTTTGTTATATTTGGATTTTTTTTCTTCATATTTTTAAATAATTTGATAGATGTTTCCAATGTTAAGGTTTAATCAATATTTTTAAAATATACATTCGTTATAATATTAACAAGTAATAGTGAAAGCATCAAAGTCAAAATAACAAGATAAGATCTTTTTTAGCGACTTCTTTAATAATTTTAAGTTTAAATGTTATATTTACGTAAATATAAGATTTTGAATTCAGAATTTGGTAGCTCATAAGCTATATGTTAGTTTCAAATAATTCATTTTAGGTATTATAATAACTTTTATTTCTAATTTAGGCCAATACTTCAAAATTCAATAATTATTTGTAATCACATTAACAATTATGAAAATAAAAATAAAATAATACAAAACATGAAAAGACCACACTAAACTCAAGGTAAATTATATATTATAAGAAAAATATAAATAAATATATTGAGATGAAGCATTAAATCATTTATAATTTATTTACGAATAAAAATCAAATTAACTAAATTTTTCTTATTTTCTAAAACTCTGAGAAACCAAAAGTTGAAAAATCATTGACATATTAATCTTAACTTTCTTTAAAAATACTATTATATTAATCAACTTTTCTTTCTAATAAACAAATTTATTATGAATTTTATCAGCTAAAGGTTAAAAAAAATCATATATTAAAAATCCCATAAAGTGACATATCTAATCAGAACACCATTAACTCTGACTCTGACAAAGAGATGAGTATGTTATAAGATATGTGTTTCGGTAGGGATTTGTAGAACCAAGAGACTAACTTTTCTGACGTGTCTTCCTTGTCTTTGGAAGACTGGAATGCCTGAATCGCCTGTCTTCCTTCAGTCTGGGCTGCTTGCTTCTTTATGACCGTTCGGTCTGTTGGTCGTTCGGTAATGGCGCGAACCGCTCGGTCTCCTTCTTGACAAAGGGGGAGGTACCTGCAAAAGGCATTCTGACGCTCAAGTTAGGCATAGGTTATGGAGTCTTAGCTTTCAAGAAAGTGATTTTGTTATCACTGTGGAGTATTTTTGAGTGTGAGTAGAATATACCTGGCTTTTAGCCTTAACCCTGTATTTATAGGTTATCACAAGTCTAATAAAATATAAACAGATTTACCTTAAAATCCGGTCGGTTGCTCATAAACAACTTTATAAATATCTTTAATCACATATCTTTGATTATTTTATCATCTGCTGGATTATTAGCCAAAAAACTTAAATGATGGCTTAATTGTGGTCCAACACCTTTTAATTTGGTTTGACTTGGTTGACGAGCGTTGTTACAGTAGATAGACCGAACGATCTTGCATGTTAACCGTTCGGTCCCCGATTATATACCATACAATATGCAAAATCAATATAATAAACTTTTATATAAATCAAAATAATACAACACTTGACTTAAGAAATGTCAATTGATGCTATCAAGGTTATATCAATAATATATTATTATCTTTAATATTTTTTATAAAGAAGATTAATAACTTCGTAAATAATAAAAGGATAATTTTAACACTTTTACCTTTAATAAATCCATTTTGAATAGGGGAACAATATTGTTACCAATCACCGCAAACTTATAAATTAAAAGTTGTGTAATGATTTTGAGAGAGTTACATCATTTCTGGTATGAATTTAAATATTGTTTTTATAATTCCTAAAGTGAATAAGATAGAATATATAACTAATTTTTGTCTTATAACTATTTTTTCACAATATGAACATCAATACGAATAATATTCCGAAAAAGTAATGAAAAATATTCGTCAAAACCAGTTGAACCACAAACACAATCATTATTAAGTGAAAAATTGCATTCTTTACTTCATCAAGGTCAGGACATTTAGATAA